GAGAATTCATGAAATATTGATGTGGGAATAAACACATTTTTTTTGCCGCATCAATTATTTTAACAACATAACACAATGCTATTTTATGACTTCAGATTTTTTTAAAGAGTGATAATCTAATAATTTTTTCTATGTGCTCTTAGTAGCCATTGAACACAATGAAAAAGAAAAGGATTAACTTAGAAAATAATAAAGAAAACAATTTTACTTCATCACTGTGTCCCACTATAGCCAATATGGCAACCATTGGACACAATGAAAAAGAATAGATTTTTTTTGGAAAATATTAAACAAGATATTTATAGTTTATCACTGTGTCCCACTATAGCCAATTTAGGGCACATGGGAAAAATTATTAGATCACTATTTTTTTTTAAATCAGAACAACTGCTTCTTTTAATAGATGAGGGAGGGACTTTTTTATTTTGCAAGAATATTGTAAATATTGTATAAAAACAGGTTGAAATTTCCAATCACAAAATTACATTGTTTGTTATGCTGTTGAAAAAATGATGCGGCCAAGAAAAAGAAACATTTTTTTTAAATTTCCGCCTCAATATTTCCCAATTTTGTTGACACGGGCTGGAGTGATGATCTAATATTTTTTTTTTGTATAGGCATAATTATGATCTATTCATTGTGCGTTCGATTTTGATAATGATAGGAATGATCGGAGCACTGTCTGATCAATGATGCCTTTATTTGTACAATACTGCTATTGTTTCTAAAATTTGACGGAGTAATGTAGTTCATGTGGTTATCGTTGGAAAGTTATTGATCTATTAGTAAATTTTATAATCTGTTTGTTGTACGCATATAGACATACTTTTTACATTTTTCATTTTATTGCTTTATTCATGTTCTTTGCAATTCATTTTTTTTATTGCTTTTAACATACATAAAACAACATAATATAATATAATGCAATATTACAATACACAATCTCATCTTCTAAAAAATTATTAGCATTACAAAATCCAAAACCAATATAATATACTGTACTGTAATATAAAATGAAATTAAAATTAAGTAAAAATTTAACTAATACATATATATATATATATATATATATATACATATACATATATATATATAC